CAGCAACCTCCAACTCCTGGGCTCAAGCGAGTCTCCTGCCGCCATCTCCCAAGTAGCGCTGGGACCGCAGGTGCCTGCCACAACGCCCGGCTATTTTTTGGTTGCAGCCATTGTTGTTTGGCGGGTCCGGCCTGGATTCAAACCTGCCACCTTAGGTGTATATGGCTGGCGCCTTAGCCGCTTGAGCCATAGGCGCCGAACCTATAAATCCATTTTTCAAGGGATAGTTTAATGATCCTGCGTTTCTACTACTACATCTCAAGTGCTGCTCAAATTAGAGCTATTAACTCAAATATGATAGTTTTTTAAAAATATATATAGTGGTATGATTGAAAATCAATAAATATTTTTACTTGGTTGTGCCTGTTTTATTGGAATTAACTAATATCTGTCATCTACTGAGCAATTTCTATGTACCAGTGGATTATTTATTTCCCTAAGTAATGGCACAAGGCAAGTATGTTATTATCATCCCCATTTTAGAGATGGAGAAACTGATGCTCAGCGAGTTAACAAAGGCCATATAGCACACAAGTTGCAACTACAGCATGTGACCCCAGCACTGCCTAATTGGCATCTGACCTTTCAGTGGTGACATACGAACGTTTTCTAATTGTGATTGGCTCATGGCATAGTCCAAAGGAAGCAAGTATTAAATGAACATCCTTTATATACTGACCTTTATTCAGATGCCTTCATATTAGACCATGAGGTCTTGGTTTAGGATTATGGAAACCCTGTGAAATAAATCAGTATTCTAGTGGGGATGCCCATTTTATGGATGAGAAAACAAAGGCTCATAGAGGCTGAATAAGTGACCAAACTCTAAATCTACAGAATCTCATAGATAACAAAAGCATTTTATTTTTGTTTCCCTCAGTCCCTTACCAATCCTATGAGGTAGGCGAGAGCTGATAAAGTGATAAAGCAGACCAAAGATATTGGATCTTAACAACCTCGGAACGACCCATTGCTTTCATTACATTTGCAAATAATATTTTATCTCTGATAGAATGTTTCAGAGAACTTTATTCAGTGGTCAAGCAGGACGTTTTATCTGCCTGAGTTGATCTGCGCTCTCCACTGCTAGCACTGCCAGTGAAATGACCCTTGAGTGTTCCGAGGCCGGATGGTAGCTGCCTGGCCAAGACACTCAAGGTGTGTCAGAGAGGGTTGATTTACACGAGGCAGGCTGTCTACATGAACTAGAACCCCCTGAGTCAACATAGCTCCATACCACAAAGTTTACCTTTCAGTAGTTCAGAGTCTGCCTTGAGTCCGGGCATCTCTCCAGGGCAGTCCCCCTCCATGCAATAAGTTGGCAGTCGAGGCTGCCTCCCTGTGGTGACTTCATCATCTTCCCATGTGGCCTCTAAGCTTGTCACAGGGAAAGAGGAAGCAGAGGGTTGCTAGCAGCTTCCAGCGAGACACACCCCTCCTGCTCGGGGCACGTGGGCCCTGTCTCTTCTCCAAAGGGAGCTGGGAAATACTGGCTTGGGCATGGAAATTTAGTGAACTATAACTATGCTACAGGAGTTGAGGTGTGGCCTGCCAGACCACAAAATCAAGAGGTCTGGGACTCAGTCGGGCCGACACACACCATTCATTTATTTCCTTATTTATGTGATTTTTCTTTCATTTACTAATTTGTTCTTCTGACACACCTGCTTGGTAATTCCTATGTTAACCTCTCAAGTATCATGTTTAAATGCGACCTTATTCTCCATCAAGCAAACTCAATTGTGCTTTAGGCATATGATTTCAGTTGGGTACCCGTAGCGAATTCTCTAGACTTGGTGCCGGATCAGCACCGTTTTCCTGGTCCACTTTTTCCAAGTCTCCGTCTTGATATTCCTCGTCATAAATGATTTGTCCCACGGTGAAAGAAAACGTTTGTTACACCTACTGCATGCCAAGCCCTGTTCTTGAAGCTCCATATGCCGAACCCTATTCTAGGGTCTTTATTTATATTCTCCAGTGTCAGCCTGATTAAAAACCCTTGGAGTAGCTTCTGTAATCTTCATGGTACAAAAGGAAACATTGAGGCTCAGAAGCCCAAAATTCTATAATGAGTGACAGAATCAAAGTTCAAGGTCAGTTATAACTGATTCAGACTGTGCACTTTCTTTGTCGTCACAAATACCTGATTAGGGAAACAAGGATGTAAACGACTCCAGGGAAGAAGTGTTTGTTTTATTATGTGATTATGTTTGTTTCATTATTATGTTCACTTTGTTCTTGAAGGTATTTAAAGCAACTTTATAGTTGCGATGTCCTCTGTATCTTCACTGTCTACAGCAGTGCCCAGCACACAGGCACTTAGAAACAAGTGGCTGTTTTCGATTTACAAGCAATATTTACTTCTTAATTGGATTTAGAGTCACCAGTTCTGCACTTCTAAATTTTTTTTTTTTTTTGAGACAAGAGTCTCACTATGTTGCCCTCGGTAGATTGTGGTGGCATCACAGCTCATAGCAACCTACAACTCTTGGGCTTAAGAGATTCTCTTGCCTCAGCCTCCCAAGTAGCTGGGGCTACAGGTGCCTGCCACAAGGTCTGGCTATTTTTTTGTTGTGGTTATCATTGTTGTTTCGTGGGTCCTGGCTGGATTCTAACCCAGCAGCTCCAGTGTATGCAGCTGGCACCCTCGCTGCTGAGCTACAGGCACCAAGCCTGCACTTCTAAATTTTATCATCACACTAGCTAACATCTTTGTAAAAAGCCCTTCAAGGAGGATGAGGCCTTTCTGATTTTAGTAGGGCTATTTAACACTGATTATTGAAGGTTTAAAACTGAATCTTCACTTACATGGCTCTTAGGATGAGTGGGCTTATCTGTTAACTCTCTAAACCTGTGGAACCTGGGTGTTACTGACGGGCAATGTGTGTTCACCTGAGAAGAATTTGGTGCTAAGTACTTGGATGTGGTAGGGATCTGTTAAAAATCTGTTAAGATTTCTGCTTGTTGGCTCGGCGCCTATAGCTCAACCGGCTAAGGC